TGTAAGTAAAAAAGAGAAAGGTCTGGATCCAGTTAAAGATTTACTCTGCTAAACTGCACCTGACAGTCAAACTGAAACTATAATAATGGGGATTTATTATTTCTATTTTAAGTAAAAAAAAAGTTATTGAAAATGCTTTGCCCTTTTTTTATTAAACAGCACCAAAAAATACTCTAAACGTCTTTGAGTCATAGTTAAATTTTGTGCAGAACAATGAGATTAATTAAGAACCAATGATTTTTATTGTCATTCCAAATGAGTACTACATTAGAACAAAAAYACATACTGAGGTCCCAGAAGTCAGCAATAAAAAAACACAAGTAAGAAGATAAGATAAAAAGAAAATCTGAAGGAGAAAATGTACCTAGTGTGTCACACATGGAGTGTATTACAACATACAAACCTACTCGTTCAGCCACGAGGGACCGTTTCTAAAAAATTAATTGAGGGTAATCACAATTAAAGTTTCTAATCTATGCCCAGGACTAATTTTTACCTCAACACCAGTTTTCTTCATGCTTACAGTTTTTACTTTGATCTAAACCTTTAATGTTACATTTTGTACAAAACATTTGATTGTAAAGCTCAGTTAGGTTTGATACAGTAAATTTGCTTCAGTGCAAAATTTCTCATCATATTTGCTGTGAATCAGATCTAATTAAAGTTTAGCAGAGACTACAATTCAGATCTATGACAAAATAAAGCATTTATTTTTCATTTATCGAGTCAAATAGAAGACGGGTCGGGGGTCTGGACTGACCTGAGCGGTCCACAGAGACCAGCAGGGGAACCAACAGCAGCAGAACTCTCAGAGTCCCCATCATCCTGCAGCCGTGGTGCAGAACTGAAACTCACACTGGTTCCAGCTCAGGTCCTCCCTGTAACCCCCACCCCTCTGACCCGCCACCTAATGAGTCACTTGTGGACATAAACCAGAGAAACCATGGATCTACTGCCTTTTACTTTTTGTGAATRGTTTCCTGTGAGTTCATTAACATGAAAACAAACAGTTTGTACAACAGAGACACAAAAAACACCAACCCACACACTTTAGAAGAAATAATTGAAAAAAAAACAAACACATTTTTACAGTTTGAAATAAAACAATAAATCCAATCATCCCTAGTTTTACACTCAGTTACTGTGCAAAGATGTAGAGCAACAATTATGCGATTAAATTACATCCATTAATTAAACTGCAACAAAAGAGCAAAACTGTATCAATCAATCAATCAATCAAGTTGACTTGTATAGCACATTTCAGCAACAAGGCAGTTCAAAGTGCTTTATATCAGAAAAACACAAAAAATACAAAGTCATAGAACACAGTTGACAACTGAAGCATTAAAGTTTGTCAAATGCTATCGCTACACATTAAAATGTTGATTAAGGTTTCATTTATTATGTTTCATAAGCAACTTAAACAGGTGGGTTTTCAGTCTTGATTTAAAGGAACTTAATGCTGAGTTTAGTTAAGTAAAAATATCTCAACAGAAAAATCTCTAATCAGTCACTGTGGTTAAATTTCTAGCAATAATTTGCATTAAAGCACAAAACAACATTTAAATAACATTTTCTGTGTTTTTTCTTTTTTATCCATTGTTACAGAATAAAAAGAAGATTATTCTGTTTGTTATCTGATTAAGAAGAAGAAAATGTCTCTTTACTGTTTAAGAAAAATTGTAATGGCTTTAACTGGAACAGAGTTCTGTCTCTTTAAATGGGCCCATCAGAGGACTTACCAGTAGGTCAAGGACAGTTTTGTATGTTTATTGACCACTACATTTACCTATATATGGTTACATATGCACCACATACTCTGCTGCGGAGCAGGAGGACAGGAGAACGGAAAAAGTTCAAAACTTATTTCYARCGGCAGAACAKGTTRGAAGATGGCCGTTTGATGTTATTTATTGTTTTTTTAAATTATCCTATAGGCTCTGACATGTTAGATAAATTTGAAAATGAGGTTTTGAAAAAATCCGTAAGATTGCTCTATACGTCCGTTTACCTGCAAAATGACGTAAAATCCTTATAATTTACGAACAGTCCATACAAGTTGACATGTATGGGCCTCTGGTGTACCGCAGGGATCCATTTTGGGCCCAGTTCTCTTCTCACTTGACTTATTGCCATAAGGACCTATTATCGTGTGTCATAACTTGTCTTTTCATCTATATGCAGATGATTTGTAAATCTATCTGCCAGTCACTCCAAATTCCTCTCTTAGTCTAAATTCCATTGTCAGCTGTTTAACTGATATCAAACACTGGCTATCTCAAAATTTCCTCTACTTAAATAATGATAAAACTGAATGGATTCTGTTTGATGCATCCAGAAACTCCTCTAACATCTCTCACAGTCTAGGTCTTCCACTCTCTCACTTCAACCAGCTGGTAAAAAATCTAGGTGTGAAACTGGACTGCAACTTGAAGCTTGTAAAACAAATCGATTCTGTTGTGAAAACAAGCTTCTTTAAGCTCCGTCTGCTTTCTAAGGTGAAGACACTGCTTGGCCGTAGTGATCTGGAGAAGACCATACATGCCTTTGTGAGCTTTAGGCTCGATTATTGCAATGCTTTATATGTTGGAATTAATCAGTCTTCCATCTCTCGCTTACAGCCTGTTCAAAACTCTGCTGCTTGCGTCTTAACCAATACACGTAAATATGAACACATCTCTCCTGTCCTTCTTTGCACTGGCTCCTGGTTCAGTTAATTCAAGCTGTTATTTGTTTTTAAATCCTTAAATGGCCTTGCACCACCCTACATCTCTGATCGATTGAAAATCCATCAACCCAGCAGAGCTTTGCGGTCTGCCCGTCAACATCTGCTCGAGGTGCCTCGCTCTATAGCAAGAGACGGAGGGACTGGTCTTTTTCTGTCGCTGGCCCAATAGCATGGAGTAGTCTTCCCWGTGAGYTGTGTGCCATGTCTGACCTGGTCCTGTTCAAAGCACAACTTAAGACCTACTTATTCAAAAGGGCGTTTGATGTAAATTTTTTTTTAGCATTTTATATATATATTTTTTTTTACTTTCTTTTATTGTAATTTGTGTTTTTAACTTGTACTGATTTATTATGACTTGATTGTATT